CTCATTTCATCTTTATTTGCTCATCTTCATTCAAGTCATCACTTTGATCCGAAATCTTTCTTCTATTTTGTTTTTGGTCTTGAGAAATTGTTCTTGATCATGGATGCTGATGAGGTAGTCATGCTCAAGCAAGATGGTTCAAATTATCAAATCTGGTCACACCTTATGAGCCAGCACATGATCCAAACTCGCAGACAACTTTGGGACTATGTTTGCGGCATTGTAACAGAGCCCAGTCCAGGCCATGAAAACTTCACAAATCTCTCTCAACAATGGAAAAGTAAGAATGCAGAGATCTTGAACATGATCTGTATATATGTACTCAATCCTTCAGTTTCGATTCAATTACGGAGCTTCAAATCAGGCAGAGAGGCTTGGGACTATTTGGCTGAGCTATATGGTCACTCCAATTTTGCCAAAAAGTATCAATTGGAGACTCAGATTAGAGCAACCAAACAAGGAGATAGAACAATCAAAGAGTTTCATGGTGTAATGGTTGGTTTGTGGAATCAACAAGCCAAGCTTGAGGATAGAGATTTGAGTTTGCTAAGCAGTTACAAAAAGAATCGAGATGAACAACGTCTTGTGCAGTTTCTTATTGCTTTGAGAGATGAATTTGAGCCGATTAGAAGGTCTATACTGTGTCGATTATTTCTACCGAGCGTTGAGAAAGCTGTTAGGGAGTTGGAAGAAGAGGAGATGAGGCTTAAGCCTTCAATTGTCTCTGAATTTGATCAGTCACACAAATTCAACAAGCCATCTTTGTCTCGGGATAGGTCTGCTATGTCTTCTTCTTCTTCAATGACAGAAACTTATGATTGGCGTTCTTTGCTGGGAGGTTTGGCCAAAGTTGCCATGGCTTCATTTGCTGCAGTACAGGTTTCTCGGACACTGTATAATTACTATACTGAACCTGGTTCGCTCCCTTTCATCATCAATTCTCATTTTATCTGGGTTCCTTCTGATTTTTGGTATATTTTATGGCATGATCTGATTTGAATTTATTTATTTATTTTTGTCAAATTATAGTAAACTCCCTGAAGCATGGATTACAAGTAACTCTATAGTTTTGACATAATTACATTGGTTGCTTCTAAGTAATTCGTTAGTCATATGAATAAAAAAGAAAAAGAAATGAAATGTCATCTTTTTTTTTTTTTACTAAAATGTATATTTGTCTTTTATTTATTTCAATGTTTATTCACCATCTGCATTAGTTAAAAGGGAGGTTTGTAAAACTGTGAAACTAATATAATATTTTATTTTCATATCTTTGGAGAGGTGAATGTAATTTACCCAATTTTTTAAATCATGATTTGAAGTGATTGTTCTTCTATTATTACTCGTGTGCCTGGATAAACCCTCACTATTACATGATATGATTGTTCACCTGTTGTTGGTTAAAAAGAGACTAGGATAGTACTAAGATTAATTTCGTGGATTTACCTACTTAAACCTTTTGAGGCTTTCTATAACATTACAGTCATCTCAAACCAGCCTTGGTTTGTTGTACAGCTTTTTTCAAATGGTTCAAGCACACATAATAAGAAGTGCATGCGCCTAACAATTATTATTAGAAATCACGTGTATTTGGAACGGAGAAGTTACACATAGATTCTTTTTGCTTCCAAAAGCTAACATTAAAATGATTGTCTGTGAAGAGTTTCCTAGGCTTATATGAGCTGAAAGTACAGATCTCAAATATAATTTCAGTTGCCAAGGGTCGCTGTTTGGGTTGATATGGGTTGCAAATAAGTAGAACAAAATAGACTTTTCAACAAACCAGGTGATTAGATAAAAGTTGGATCAGAACGCAATTCGTGAGTTCTTATTATATTAGATACTCAATATGTCTAATATTAGGACGTTTGAAGATTTATGGCAGGATTTTGTACTTACAGTTATTTCTTTTTCCTCTTTTGTGCATCTGTGGTTATCGAATCATAGGATTTACAAGTTGCATGTAGAAGACTAAATAATATGAGGCAAAGGAAACATATTTTTTTTTTTTTTTTTTTAACAGTTGCGGTTGAATCTTTCTCAGGAACGGAATTGAAGATTTTGAGTTATAATGTTTGTTTCCGAGAAGACTTGGAAATTCATAAGAGGATGAAAGCTGTGGGTGACCTTATTCAGATGCATTCCCCTGATCTGATATGCTTCCAGGTTTTCCTCATTTCCATTTTTCATACCATGTAACATAAATACTAATGCTTTTATGAATTTTCATTGTTTTAAAAGTTCATTTTTCTCTGCAGGAGGTTACTTTCAAAATCTATGACATTTTTCAACAATCCAGCTGGTGGAACTTGTACCGTTGCTCAGTTTCAAATATGATGGAATATAAAAGCAGATCCTTCTGCATGCAGGTGAGATTCTTATGATTTTTCCTTATCATTTTTTATTTCTGGTTTTCTTGAAAGAGGGATGTCTAGGGTCAAGGAAATTGACCCATTCACGCAACTGTATGCATCTAGCTGATCAATTATAAAAATATTAGAATAGATGTCCAAAATTTCCAAAATCTTCCTCTATTTGAATATTATAAAAAATCTTCATATTCTGACCAGTAACTTGTGATTCAAGCAGTTTCTTATTGCTTTGAGAGATGAATTTGAGCCGATTAGAAGGTCTATACTGTGTCGATTATTTCTACCGAGCGTTGAGAAAGCTGTTAGGGAGTTGGAAGAAGAGGAGATAAGGCTTAAGCCTTCAATTGTCTCTGAATTTGATCAGTCACACAAATTCAACAAGCCATCTTCATCTGGGGATAGGTCTGCTATGTATTCTTCTTCTTCAGTGACAGAAACTAATGATTGGCCTTCTTTCCTGGGAGGTTTGGCCAAAGTTGCCATTGCTTCATTTGCTGCAGTACAGGCTTCTCGGACACTGTATAATTACTATACTGAACCTGGTTCGCTCCCTTTCATCATCAATTCTCATTTTATCTGGGTTCCTTCTGATTTTTGGTATATTTTATGGCATGATCTGATTTGAATTTATTTATTTATTTTTGTCAAAATATAGTAAACTCCATGAAGTTTGGATTACAGGTAACTCCGTAGTTTGGACATAATTACATTGGTCGCCTTTAAGTAACTCTTTAGTCATATAAATAAAAAACAAAAAAGGAAAATAAAATAAAATAAAATAAACGCCATCTTTTTTTTTTTCTTTTTTTTCTTTTTTTGACTATGTATATTTGTCTTTATTTATTTCAATGTTTATTCATCATCTGCATTAGTTAAAAGGGAGGTTTGTAAAACTGTGAGACTAATATAATATTTTATTTTCATATCTTTGGAGAAGTGAATGTAATTTATCCAATTTTTTAAATCATGATTTGAAGTGATTGTTCTTGTATTATTACTCTCGTGTGCCTCGATAAACCCTCACTATTACATGATATGATTGTTCACCTGTTGTTGGTTAAAAAGAGACTAGGACAGTACTAAGATTAATTTCGTGGATTTACCTACTTAAACCTTCTGAGGCTTTCTATAACATTATAGTTATCTCAAACCAGCCTCGGTTTGTTGTACAACTATTATCTAATGGTTCAAGCACACATAATAAGAAGTGCATGCGCCTAACAATTATTATTAGAAATCACGTGTATTTGGAACGGAGAAGTTACACATAGATTCTTTTTGCTTCCAAAAGCTAACATTAAAATGATTGTCTGTGAAGAGTTTCCTAGGCTTATATGAGCTGAAAGTACAGATCTCAAATATAATTTCAGTTGCCAAGGGTCGCTGTTTGGGTTGATATGGGTTGCAAATAAGTAGAACAAAATAGACTTTTCAACAAACCAGGTGATTAGATAAAAGTTGGATCAGAACGCAATTCGTGAGTTCTTATTATATTAGATACTCAATATGTCTAATATTAGGACGTTTGAAGATTTATGGCAGGATTTTGTACTTACAGTTATTTCTTTTTCCTCTTTTGTGCATCTGTGGTTTTCGAATCCTAGGATTTACAAGTTGCATGTAAGTGAAGATTTAGTTTTTTTTTTTTTGACAGTTGCAGTTGAATCTTTCTCAGGAACGGGAAGTACTTCGAGAACATTGAAGATTTTGAGTTATAATGTTTGTTTCCGAGAAGACTTGGAAATTCATAAGAGGATGAAAGCTGTGGGTGGCCTTATTCAGTTGCATTCCCCTGATCTGATATGCTTCCAGGTTCTCCACATTTCCATTTCCTTGTGCCATGTAACATAGAGCTTTTATGACTTTTCATTGTTTTTAAGTTCATTTTTCCCTGCAGGAGGTTACTTTGAAAATCTATGACATTTTTCAACAATCCAGCTGGTGGAACTTGTACCATTGCTCAGTTTCAAATGTGATGGAATATAAAAGCAGATCCTTCTGCATGCAGGTGAGATTCTTATGATTTTTCCTTATCATTTTTTATTTCTGGTTTTCTTGAAAGAGGGATGTCTAGGGTCAAGGAAATTGACCCATTCACGCAACTGTATGCATCTAGCTGATCAATTATAAAAATATTAGAATAGATGTCCAAAATTTCCAAAATCTTCCTCTATTTGAATATTATAAAAAATCTTCATATTCTGACCAGTAACTTGTGATTCAACAAATTTGCAAGGCTGATCATATCTCTCTCTCTCTCTCTTGGTTATACATCATTTGCCTCGTTTTATATATTTATTTATTAAAATCTCTGGATGAGATTTTGTAGTTAATAGTGATGTAAGATCTGATGTCGTTACACCACATAACTTGCAGTTAAGTAAACTACCAGTAAATTCATACAGCCGTAAACCATTCAGTAATTCCACAATGGATAGAGAACTTTGCGTTGCTGAGGTTGAAGTTCAGGCAGACATGCCATTGGTTGTTGCCACTAGCCATCTTAAAGGTCCTGGTCCTGGCCCTCGCAATTGGGATCAGTCGTTCAGCAAGGAACGTGTTGATCAGGCAAAGGAAGCGCTGACCTTTCTTAAAAAAAATGTAAACGTGATTTTTTGTGGTGACATGAATTGGGATGACGATTTGGATGGTCAATTTCCTTTGCTCAATGGATGGGTTGATGCCTGGGTGCAGTTAAAGCCAAGAGAAAATGGATGGACATATGATACCAAATCCAACAAGATGCTTTATGGTGATTGGCCTGTGCAAAAGCGACTTGATCGATTTGTATGCAATTTGCGTGATTTCAAGATAAGAGGAATAGACATGATTGGCATGGAGGCAATACCGGGTCTATCATATTGGAAGAAAGGGAAAAACAAGGTGGACAAAGTGCCTGTGTTTCCTAGTGATCATTATGGGTTGCTATTAACAATCAGTGCCAAGTAATGCTAGTTAAGTGATGATAACTAAGTAGGCAAGCAGAGTGTTGATTGTGTTTTTGTTCTCTTCAATGGTATCATGCTTGATATGTACTTGTTTATAGATAACAGATGGAGTGATGTTCAAATGGTTTACAACCCTTTGTGGAGAATTGTTTTCCATATTTTGTAAGAAACTACTACTATGGAATGTTGGATTGTTTTTCAGTTTTTGGTCTGTCATCCCTAGCATCAAACTGAATCTATTATCTAGAATTTGCTCATATACTTTCAAGGAATTTCTTATTTTGGGTTGCCTCAATATGTCAGCTACTTGAATAGATAGAAGGAAACTGAATTTCAGAACACTTGACGATCACATGCAGCGGTGCAGATTAGTTTTGAGAACACATTTAGATCACAAAAAATATTGAACAGTTAATTGAACTAAATTTTGATCATCTCATCAAGCCAGCCTTTTGGATTTAGAGGCGAAAACTGATGATATCTTGGTGCTAACCTGCAATCGTTTGTAATTTATTGTTTGTACATGTCGCATGCTTAAGACAAATTGCAGTTAAAATCTTGAAATGTGAGAGAAACAACAAGGCACGTTGGACCAGTGTAGATGATTGGATTTTGCAACTCATAGCTAGAAAGACAATCGGGAACCCCAAAACTATACCTGAAGTTATCCATCCATGGACTCAATTGTCTTCGCTGTCCACTGTGTATTTTGACACTTTCATTGTCCTGGACTAATCCAATCCACATACGAGGCAGGCAAGTTCCTTGTTAGTTTGTGGACTTGTTGGAAATTAAGCTTTTAATACATCCATGTTTATACACACACAACAATGTTATATTACACATTTTGGATAAAACTCGCTTCGCTTATGATATATAGATTTATAGGTGAAAAATCTAAAATCCCGGGATATTAATTCTTAATTATATTTCAATTTTAAATAGTGAAACTAATCCCAATCAAATAATTAATAACAAATCAACACAATGATTTAATGTGGAAAAAATCACAATTGGAGCGCCTCCAATTGTATTATAAAAATCACAGGTCAAAACTATAAAACAACCCACTATGACAAAAATAAATTACACATGTGTACCTTCAATTACCTAGCGAATCCAGGCACAAATTGAACTGGGCCCGATGTGTCTCTTCTACCATTGTTTTCACATCGAAATTGTCTTGCCCAACGTTGAATCCACAATACCGATGTCGAATCCACGACGACGAGTGTGAGAACCCGAATATACAAATCAAATAAATAATTAAGTAATAATAATTTTACAATCTCAAATATTTTTATAGTGAATCCTAAAGTACAAATTAAATATTGTTGGAAGGTCTTTTAATTAATTTTAAATCTAAAATAAATTTATGGTGAAAATTTCCAATTTAGAGGCAAGATTTACTAGGGGGTTAAGGGAGTCAGATTATTTGAAGTGTGTGGGTAATCCTAAACTTTCATAATATTGAATTAGCAACCGTGAAGTCTAGAGAGGAGAGGAGATAGGCATAGCTTTTGGATGAAAATTGAAGAACTAGTTTGGTGCTTGAATAACTCCATCTCCAAGGTAGAAATCAATATTTTGTAAATATAGTTATTATGTATAGATGTTTCTGTGCATTCTTTGGAAGAAGAATAAATGAAAGATACTGATTAGGTGGCTTGAATATCTATCAGATTAATAGTTAGACCTTGTGAGTGAAACATGAGATACGTAGGCCTACTTGGCAACCACTGTTTGTGTAACAACCCTCACTCTAACTTAGTTATACTTGCATACATTTATGTATGATCTTGTTTTGTTATGTGCATTTGCAAATCTTGTCTTGTTTTGCTCGAATGTTGCTTGCATGCTTTGTTCTTACCTGGTGTGTTGTCGAGGTCATCTTAAGCCTAGACACCTTGGAGCCTTTCCATACTTAGAACTATCTTGGAAACCCTTCGGTTGACCTCCACCTTCACCCTGGCATATTGGCCGAGATGTCACCATCTAGGCTGAGGTGCGCGTCGCCTAGGCCGAGATGTGCATCATCTAGGTCGAGATGTTATTATCTAGGCGTTCTAGATCCTTGGTCCATGCACTTAGTGATTTTGTTCCTGGAATGGTATGACCTAGACCGAGGTGTGGCACATCTAGGCCAAGGTGTGGCACAGCTTAGTCAAGTGTTGTCCTTCTAAGCCGATGTCCTTGCCCCTTGCTTGCCGGAGTCTTGTTGTTAGCCGATGTCGTTACTTGCCGGAGTGCTCTTGCCGTCTAGCTTGTTGAACACACCTTATCATGGTCTTGTCTTGTCAAGTCAGTCACCTTTTTTAGTAGAGCCAATCAGCCGATGCACGTGTCCCAACAGAGGGTTAAGTCAGTGACTGTCGAGAAAACATATCATTTTGTATCAAATCTTGTCTTTTAGAGAGAGAGAGGCTCTAGGAAGGAGAAAGAGAAGTTTTGAGTAAGAGAGAGTGAACTTCCAAGCTTGATCGTTGGAGCTTGAACCGTTAGATTCGAGTTTTGAGGTTAGAATCTTAACCTACTCTTGTTGTTCTTATTGATCATCTAGCTGCATTGCACGATCAAACCTATTCTGCACGTCATGCATTGATTTAAAGTTGGTTTTAGAAAGAGAAAATGGTTTTCATGTGTTCTTGAAGAAAAGCCTCGTTTGATCGAAAAGTTTGCATCTAGAACCATGTTTTTGGGTTTGTTCTCTTAAGATCCTTGAATATGGGTACCCAGGTCCATGGTTTCGGATTCTTAGCGTGAAATCTCAGATTTTGTAATAGCAAGTTTTAATCTTTGCATTCATCTTCCTCATGTTCATGTTCTTCATGTTCGTCATGTTCTTCAAGAGAGGGAAATCCAGATTTTCCCGACTTCATATCCTTGAATGTGGCCATCGAGGCCACACCTCGGCAAGGAGGTGTGGGACCTCGGCCTAGACCTGGTAGTTACCTAGCATGCTTTCCAAAGATAAGAAATTGTGTTTTGATTTGATTTGACTTAGTTTTGAAGAACGCCGAGGTCATTTGCATGCATGCAAGACTTGTTTTTAGAAGTGCATTCAATAGACTTTGCCATGTGTTTGTAGGACTTGGACTTGCCTTGACCCCGACGTTTGAAGAGCTATGTGAGTGGTATTTCTAATAAAGCTATGTTATCAATTTTTTGATGAGCTTTGCTTTGCTTTGTTTTGAAAAGTATTTGTTAAGCATGAATGATTGTCCTTATTTTGTGTATCAAGCATTATCTTGTTTTGATGACCTCCTCGGAAAGTCCTTAGTGCCAGGGGACTATAATGCAACTGCACATCTTGTTTTGAAAGTCCCTTGTGCTGGAGGACTCTAAACTTTCGCAGTACTCTCGTGTTAAAGGGCTACGGGCCTTTGTAACATAGGTCCTTTGTGCTAGAGGACTCTAAACTTTTATAGCACCCTTGTTTGAGATATCTTCCTTGCTTTGTCTTGTTTTGCCACTGACGGTTTACCGCGTGGGTCTTGTAAGTCCTTTCGTGCTAGGGGACGTTAAGCCTAAGTAGCACCCTTGTTAAGATATCGGCCACCGACGGACTATGAACGGGTGTGCTCGATGCCGAAGTTATGATTTGTTTGCTCGGAATGTCATCATTTGTAATATGTTGATGCTAGTAAGCATCCCTTGAAGCTTTGAAGATTTGTTGATGGACGAGGTCCATCCCTTGTTACATAAAGTTTTGATATGTATTTGTTTTGAAAAGACTTCGGCTATTATTCATGCAAACCCTTTATTATTTATATCATTCACTGAGTATCCAAGCTCACCCTCTCTATATATATGTAGGTGATGAGCAAAAAGGCGATGACGCCTAGATGTGATTCGCGAGCTTGTTTTTGGATTTTTGTTATGTCTCGGCTTGACTTGTATTTACGTCGGCAGTCTTGAAAATTATGCTTCTCGATTTGTAATACTTGTATTTTGCACACGTCAGCTTGAGAAGCCTTTTGATCAAGATGTAATTTGTACTTTGCTTCATTTGTAATTAAGTTGTAACCCATGTGAAGATGTTTGCTATTTTATTTGACTTATGCACAGCTCTTATGGACTAATCTGATTTGTATGTATTGCTTCCGCACATGTTAGCCCCATATATTTATACTCTGATTGTGTGTGAATTTTGAAAGTTGGCCTTTGGTAATCTCGGATTACTGGCCATCACGGCACCAAAACTACTAGGGGCGGTTTGGGGTCATGACAGAATTGATCAATAATTTATTTTTTACTATTTCATTTCTTTTTTTCGTTTCCGTTTTTTTTTTTTTTGTATTAGATTATTGAGGTGAAGTCACTACAACAAAATTGATTTTTTACAGCACCACATCAACGACATACAACAAATGCAAGCCATAGTTTCTCACTTTTACGACTTGCTTTTTTTTCACGTCGTAAATAGTTTTCCAACGACGGATGTCTATTACGTAGGCCGTGAAAGGTAATAACAATGATTTTTTTATGACTTGCAATGTTTGCCGTAAATAATAAAACTTTTTATGACATGCACATGACAACTGTTGATACGTCAACTATACACGACACACATACGCCAGCCGTGAAAAGTATTGCACTTTTCACAGTGTACACAACACCCGCCATTAAAAGTATCATACTTTTTACGACATACACATCGCTCACTGTTAAAAATATTACCTTTTCACGACACATAATGCATGTCGTGAATTGTATGATAAAAAAAACGCACATGAAATTTGGGGCGCCAATCACCACAACACAAAAAAAAAAAAAAAAAAATCGATTTTTTTTTTCTCTAAAATAACTATTTTGCCTCAATTTCTAGGGTTTTCTCATTCAACATTTCGTTGATAATGGCTGATCTCACATCTAATTTACGCAATTTGGTTACGATGGTTGATGGGTTAGTGACTGAAGGTTCTCCTTCGCCTAAGGGGAGTTCACACATCGGGAAAGATTTACTGTTGGAGAGGGATTTGTTAACATTGATGGACATCGCAAAGCGAAATGGGGGATTTTAACAAGTCTTCCATCAGCCGGATATCCAAAATGCAGAACAAGGGCACTCTGAGCCTATAACTGTTACTCTGGGGGCTGTTCTTGGCCATGATCTTGGACAGGGTGATGCTGGTCTAAGTCAATCAACAGGGAAGCAAACTCCAAAGCCAGGTCAGAAAAATGATGAACCTTCGACTGCTGGGTCAACTAGTGGTCCAAGGAAGAAGAAAAAGTAATGTGTTTTGGCGCATATTCCCATTTTTGTAAATGTGTGTGATTGTATTTGGTTGTCTATCATGTTATTAAATATCTGTGCATGGAATGTAAGGGGTCTTAATGACTCCGACAAGCAAAGAGAAGTTGCTAATTTTTTGAGAAAGGAAAAGATCAATATTGTAGGTTTGCTTGAGCCTAAAGTGCTTAAATCTCATCATGTTAGTATTCTTAACCATGTTTTGCATAATTGGGAGGGTCATACTAACTATGATCATGCTACTCTTGGTAGAATTTGGGTCTATTGGGATCCTGCATTTTGTACTATTGATATTTTGGATATGTCTGATCAACACATCATGTGCAAAGTGACTGTTTTGGATGGGAATATGACATTTTTGTGTATGCTCAAAATTCTTATAGCTTGAGGAGACCCCTTCTCCAGAGTATTGAAGAGTTAGCTGTTGTTCACAAGTCTTCTCCTTGTATTTTCTTAGGGGATTTTAACGCAATTAGAACTCCTTTTGATAAGGTCGGGGGCAATCCTAACTGGTCTGGTAGTAAAAATGAATTTCACCTTTGTGTTAATTTGGCTAAGTTGGATGACCTCAGCTATGGGGGTTGCCAATTTACCTGGGCTAATAATCCGGGTAATGGGAATTCTATTGCTTCCAAAATTGATAGAGCCCTGGTGAATAACAGTTGGATGGGGTGTGTTTCCGAATTCTCATCCTTATTTCCACCCTTCTGGTACCTCTAATCACTCTCCTTGTACTGTGATCCTGGATACTCAGGTTTTGAGGGTTCCTCAACCCTTTAAATTCTTTAATTTTTTGGGCTGATCATAAGGGTTTTTTACCTTTGGTTCATAAGGTTTGGTGTAAGTATATTAAGGGTTCTCCTATGTTTAGGGTGTGTTGTAAACTTAGGGCCCTTAACCCTGAGTTCAAAGCCTTGAACAAGAAGCATTTCAGTGATGTCTCGGTTAGGGCCTCTATTGCTAAGGAGGAGCTGGATGGTGTTCAGCTTAAGCTTTGCTATAGATCAAACTTGACAACACATGTTTGGTTTTCATTATATGTTGAATTGTTCTCTCCATTTTCTAGTACTTGTGATGTTTTTTCCTTTAAAATAAGTTGGTTTCTAGCTTAAATTGATTTTTCATCTACAAATCTCAATTTTCTTATTCTGTCGAGATATGTGAATTATTTTTTCTTTGTAAAATTCTTTAAAATAAAAAATTTGACGTGGAACAAACTTATGAAAAGACATGTTAATTATCTACGTTATGAGGGTTAAACAAGTGTCGCTTTATGCAGCTACTTATTAGTCTTTCTTTCTTGAATTAATTTCTTGAATTTATTATTATTATTATTATTATTATTATTATTATTATTATTATTATTATTAATAATTTGTTCAGGACCAGAGTTGGATTGTTGTTGTTACTTTGTTAAAAGTTCAGTTCAGAAATGGCTTAAATATATGGAGTGGGAAAATATTACCTTTTAGGATTGATTTCTAGTTTTTCGTCCACTGGATCTAGAGACAGAACTATGATATGGCCTGGGGTTGCCATGGCCCCCTCAGCCCTTGATAAGCCTCTATGTCTATGCTTGCTAGTAACTAAGAATTCAAAAGTTTTCAGAATAGTGTCCTCTCCAATATATATATATATATATATATTTTCTAATTTTGCTGGGCATTTCATCAAGTTTCTTGCACCTTTTTTTTATTTCATATCTATCCACCGCCACTTGTTACCAAATGAAAAAGGCTCAAGCAATTTTATATTTAATTGTCTCTAGTTGTTAGGTAATTTCCCAATGAAAAAAGCTCAAACAATTTTATATGTAATAAAACAAATACAAATACATGGCATACACTAGTTTATTATTAGATAAATGGATTTTTTTTGTTTGGTATTTGGTTTGAAATTTGATTGTCAAATTAAAACACCTAAATCTGTTATGATTTAAAAATGATTTATGAAGATGAAATTTGGGAATGATGGAGTTTATTTTGAGAAGCCTAATGATTCACCCTATTACATTGGATTGGATAGGGTTTCCAAAGATTCTTACGATTCGTTGAAGAATCCCAATGGTATCATTCATCTCGGATTATCAGAAAATAGGGTATGTTTTTGTTTTTCTTTGATTAATTTTCATTGTATTGGTTTTGGGTTTGAGTTGATTGTTTTTGTGGTTATAGCTATCACTGGATTTGATTGAGAAGTGGTTTTTGCAAAATTTCATTGATTCTATACTTGGAAGAGGAGGAAGTGGGGGTTTGAGTATAATGGAATTTCGACATACCAACCGTTCGATGGAATGCCAGAACTAAAAGAGGTAAGATGTTTAAATGATTATAATTAATTGAATTTCTTATTTGGGTCTGTGTTTTGATTTGCAACTTTACTTCTTTGAAATGTGACAGTTAAAATGCTCAGTTGGTAGGTATGATTATTGAAAATATTGGTGTAGATTCAAACTAATCAGTAGCTTTTTGTTTAGTAATATAATGACAAGATTATATCAGTGTGTTTGGTTTGAGTTTTTTGGATTAAATTTTTTGAAAATTGAGTTTTTTGATTTTCGTATTTTTTTGTTTTTAGTGAATATTTTTAAAATTTTAAACATTTTTTTTTACTTTTTTAGATGCACCTTACTTAGATGTATCTAAAAAGTAAAAAATTTGTGAAAAAATATTTTAAAAAATTAATAAATACATAAAAATACAAAATATGTACGGAATTCTCGTATTTTTTTTTTGTATTTTTGGTATTTAGTGAATTTTTAAAAGGTTTCTTTCACAATTTTTTTACTTTTTAGGTATATTTATGTTAGGTATTTCTAAAAAGTAAAAAAAATTGCTTAAAATATTAAAAAAATTTAGTAAAAATAAAAAAAATACGAAAAACAAGAAAGTAGAATTTTCTGAAAAGAGTTTTTGGAAAACTCTAACCAAGCATGCATATTAGTTTGCTGAACAAGTTTGCTGTACATCTTCGTTCGATAGTACATTTACTACTTACTGTAGAAGCTTCCCTTGCCATAAGATCTGTGAAGTGAATGATATGGTAATTTTAAGCCTATATATATTGTGGAACCAGTTGATAACTAGACGAAAATGATATTCATGGATCACCACTGCACTCCATGTTCGTCAAAATTTGAAACAAAAAGAATACTATTGTCTCCAAAAACAAAGAACACATAAACAAAATTGAACTGGTAGCAGACTTGATTTTAGCAAAAATTTGACTGCAGTTGGTCTCAAGCAAGCTCCATGTGAGATTCCTAATTTGCTTCTTTCTTAGCCACTTTTCTTCTTTGTTTACTCTGGTTCTGGTATTCGGCATTATATGAGTCTTTTTTATTTTTCATGCTTTAATAGTGTTGTGATTTCTATCTTTCTAAAGATTTAGGGCATTGAAGCTTTATATTTTGGATTAAAATGTGATATTTTTTTTAGAAAGATAGAAATCACAACACTATTAAAGCATGAAAAATCAAAATGACTCATATAATGCCGAATAGCAAAAGAGTTCTGACCAAATAAATAAATTTAAGTAATATTAATTCTACAAGAATAGCACATTATTGGTTGTTCATAGCAATGACTTTGATACCAACATGATAATTAGTTTGTCATCATTGATAAATTGCCTTCCTTTTGTTCAGGACAAACATGGTAATTAGTTCTGTCAATTTTTGCAATTTATACTAAAAACTATGTTAGATGTCAAAAGTTAAACATATATATTATTCCTATTTGTTAAATTTTATATTGCATCTGGATGGAGAAATAGGTGGATGAATTTGTACCTGGATATCTACTTTTAGACAATTTTCTGTTCAATTTCTGTATGATAATGTGGTAAAAAATGCTAAGAAGATATAATGAGCAATTAAGCATTACGAGTCATAAGTAATAGTCAAAGTTTAAGTGATTAGATGGAACTGCCTTTGATAATATAATAACTGCTAGGGGCAAGGTTTTGAAAAGCGGTTGCGGTCGCTGTAACGGTGGCGGTGCCGCGGTTGCGGTTGCGGGGCATAAAGGCCGTAGCGTAACGGTTGCGGTAACCGGAACCGTGAATTTTTTTATTTTTCGCACAATTTGAAAAAAACTTACCGATATGCATATTTTTTTTCCATAATCATATTTATTGGGTTTTAAAATAAATATTGATCAATTTTTATTTTAGCAAAAATTTGACTGCAGTTGGTCTCAAGCAAGCTCCATGTGAGATTCCTAATTTGCTTCTTTCTTAGCCACTTTTCTTCTTTGTTTACTCTGGTTGTACCAGAGGATAAGAAGAGTGACTAATGGGTATAATATAAGTTCACTGTTCTAACAAAATGCAGTGTTGAAATTTACCCTTTAAATGTTTATATGTAGAAGATTGATGTCTTGACATGAAACTGGAATTGATCAAGTCATATCACAGTAAAGGTAGGAGCAATACAAGTGTGATTTTATGCCTAAATACGGTTTTTAAATCCTTTATAGTCTATATATGATACAGTGGTATTCTTTGTTCTTTTATTATTGTGATTTGTAAATATTTGAAGAGAGGAATTAAGTATTCTGTATTGTAAAAAATAATGTGCTATTCTTGTAGAATTAATATTTACTTAAATTTTATTTATTTGTTCAGAACTTTTCTAGTGTTCGGCATTATGAGTCTTTTCGATTTTTCATGCTTTAATAGTGTTGTGATTTCTATCTTGCTAAAGATTTAGGGTATTGAAGTTTTATATTTTGGATTAAAATGTGATATTTTTTTTAGAAAGATAGAAATCACAACACAATTAAAGCATGAAAAATCAAAATGACTCATATAATGCCGAACAGCGAAAGAGTTCTGACCAAATAAATAAATTTAAGTAAATATTAATTCTACAAGAATAGCACATTATTGGTTGTTCATAGCAACGACTTTGATACCAACATGATAATTAGTTTGTCATCATTGATAAATTGCCTTCCTTTTGTTCAGGACAAACATGGTAATTAGTTCCTGTCAATTTTTGCAATTTATACTAAAAACTATGTTAGATGTCAAAAGTTAAACATATATATTATTCCTATTTGTTAAATTTTATATTGCATCTGGATGGAGAAATAGGTGGATGAATTTGTACCTGGATATCTACTTTTAGACAATTTTCTGTTCAATTTCTGTATGATAATGTGGTAAAAAATGCTAAGAAGATATAATGAGCAATTAAGTATTACGAGTCATGAGTAATAGTCAAAGTTTAAGTGATTAGATGGAACTGCCTTTGATGATATAATAACTACTAGGAGTATAAGAAGAATTAAGGATGGATTTCTATGTGCTAGTTTATAGTTGAAAACTTTCTTTTTGCTGAAAGAGCTATGGCACTGCTATCATAAAATCTGCTGGAATTAATGAAACTTTCTGCGAAAGTTGAACCAGCAGGAGTTCTCACATGCCCTGCACTCAAAGAGGCGAAGGAAAATATTAATAGCTATCTGATCAGATTTATTTATTTTTCAATCATTAATTATAACACTATCCATTTGTTGTACATAACTGATTTGATCATATAGTTATCGATATCCGATCAATTTGAGTTTTTGCAAACATATAGTACTTGACGATTTCTACATATTGAACGGTTCAAATTATCAAAACGGGACCCGTGATGACCTCCATGGGACGAACAACGGTGTGTGTAAAAACCACACCCAATCATTTCTTTTTCCTCCACTGCCGCACACAGCACTGCCGCACACATCAATTCGGTGAATAGTGATTTTGAAGAAAATTGATTTTTTTTTTTTTGGTGAATAGTGATATATTTTTGGATTTTGGAGTAACTTTTTGACTTATATAGGATAAGCCAAACCAGCCCTTAATATGCAAAGCTAACAACTTCTTGCAGAAAATCTTCAAGGGTTTCACTCCAATTTTCTGTTTGTTTCCCTAGAAATTGCGTAAAGGTTTTTTTTTTTGGCTGAGAAAATGAATCAAATAGTCAATGTGGGGTTCTTTTATCTGTTTGGTTGCTGAGAATTGGAGTAATAAATATGCCATTGAATCTTGAATGTTATATGAACTGAATTTCTGTGCGCAAAATTACTTGTGCATGAAATATATCAATAGCACTCTTAAGTCTTGAAATCAAAGGCAAAATGCTGGTATTTTGTTTTGAAATACTGTGGTAATGTGACTGGCCAGACTGGCCATCACATTACACAGGGAATGATATATATACATATATATATATATATATATTATGGAGAACGTTTGGTTGCTGAGAATTGGAGTGATAAATATTCCATTGAATCTTGAATATTATATGAACTGAATTTCTGTGTGCAAAATTACTTATGCATGAAATATATCAATAGCACTCTTAAGTCTTGAAATCAAAGGCAAAATGCTGGTATTTTGTTTTGAAATACTGTGGTAATGTGACTGGCCAGACTGGCCATCACATTACACAGGGAATGATATATATACATATATATATATATATATATTATGGAGAACATAGTTCTTTGTAATCCTAAGTGATCAGTAACCCCTCTAAACTAAATGTAATTCAAATTTGACTAGTTCACCTTGCCTAGTTGATCGTTTTGTTCTGAAAACAGAGGAAAACCAGTTTTGCAAATCAGTATGAAACGGGTGTGTTCTTTTCCATTTTAGATTGTGTAGCTACTGCACTGAGGTACAAACATGAACTCGTTTGACAATCATTTATTTTTCTAAGCTTTTTGCTCCTCTGCTTTACTGTCTTTGATTCTGGTCCACAATGCTCAGGCACTTTCCAAGACATTACTAATACTGCTGCTAGGCAAAAAGAGGTGCAATCTCCATCCTTTTAAAGTTTAAACCATTGACTTTGAAATTTCTCAAATTGTTTTTTGAAGTTCTACATTGAAATAAACCGAGTTTGTGTTGCATTTGTGAACAAATTATGGTGCTTTTGAAGATCTACTGGGGAGATGCTCGGGAGAAGATATGTGAAGCAATTGATTAGATTCCTCTTAGTTGCCTTGTTATAGGGAACCGAGGCCTCGGCAAGCTCAAGAGATTAATTATTTTGAAATTACTTTTTGATTATAATTGAAATCTACTAGTCTGCAGCGTTGAACCATTTTGGTGTTTGGACTTCTTTTCTGGATCTTATATATTTTTGGCCAGTGCCCTAAATTTTTTAGCAAAACCGAGAAGAGAGGGAAAAGAAAGAGGGTTAAAAAATTAGCTAACCTTTCCATTGGAGCCCAAAATTGTAGAATTTGGTTGCTAATTTTGTAGCACCTGACACTAGCATATACTAAGCCATCCACTGTTAAATGATTTCAGATCCATCATCTGTATTTAATCATGAGATTATCTTCCATAAATTGCCGTAAAGTATATGATATTTATCTGTTACTCATAGTCGTTGAATAAATTTCCAATAAGATACTAAATCAATGTGGTAGGGCAATGTGAAAATGATAGGATAGGACATAACACTTGCATTTAAGTTTGTTGTTAAAGAAAAATGATTGTTATGGACATAGCACTTGCATTTAAGTGGTGTCTTAATCATTCAATAATGGATTTTTGATTCTTAGGCATATTCTCACCAATGGAGGACTAAATTTGTGGACCAAACCAGTATGAATCTTTGTTTAGTTAGCTGGACAACCAAAAATGTAAAGCAAGCTAATTTGTGATAGATTGAAGGTGGTTGTTGGTGTCTTAATCATTCACCTATGGATTACTGATTCTTAGGAGTGTTCCTATCAATGGACTCATTTTGTGGGCCAAACTGCTATAAATATTTGGTTTAGCTGGACAAAAAAATGTGAAGCAAACTAGTTTGTGACAGATTGCTGGTTGTTGGGATCTTTTATTAGCCTCTTTCAAGGCAGATCCAAAATATACTGTAATTGAACGTCGAACATCCCATACATGCCATCCGATCGCATGAAAACAAATTGTGAATGTCGAATTTGTTGTAGTGTCTGGATTATAAGAAAATGAACTGATGCTTTATTTATTTATTTATTAGGTAATTGAAGTAGATATACCAAAAATTAGAGTATAAAATATGAGGCTCAATGTACTTGCAAAGAGGACAAAAAAGATGATTGAGCAAGCCATCAAAACAGAGCATTCAATTTAAGGTTTAGAGAAGCAATGTGGAGATGTAACCCGATTACATGTGGAGGTAACAGTAAAAAAAATTTGTTGAGTGACTTGGTTTATATAAGGTGTGATCAATGCCTTGTTTGTAAAAAAAAAAACATTTCAAACTGTATATACATGTGGAAGATTAGGAGTTTTCGTTATTGAACTCTGATTCATAATAATAATGTATTGAGAATCAATGACAGGTAGCTATTACTTTTTATTCTAGTAGATGTTTTGGGTATTTTCAATTGGAGAAAGACGAGTTAAAGACTTGAAAGACTTGGCTTCTTATCGTCCTCAGTATCACAACCAAGGTACCTTTTAATACTACATTATGAGTACTCATTATAACTTTTCTGGGTCATACATACCTAGCATATAGTGCAGTACTGTACACAACTGCAAATCATTGCAGCATTTCATGGGGATGATATAGTATGAACATATCAGATTCTTTCTGTTCGACTTTTCTATTTTGTTATGAAAATTACTTCCAAGTAGTGAGTTGATCATTGACAATGTTGTTGGCTATCAAATATTTAATGATCTTTACTTAGTGATCCACAACCTAAAAATTCAGGGAAAAGGTATATATGTTTGTGATGGTCTTTTTGAAATCAGGATGTGTGTTCCCCTATTTGTGCACAAATAAGGATTTGGAAGTTAATGCTTCAAATTATTTCTATGGTACAATGTTTTGGGGCTTGATATCCTTCTTCATATAATATTTTTGGATCACGAGTTATGTGTAAACTGCTGTTCTTTCTTGACGTTAGATTATAATAATAATTATTTTGTGTTTTATTTTCATTCTTTATTTTGGGTTAAGGGGTTTAACCTTGTTTTATTTCTGCTTTTTAAATCTATTGATCTCCATTCCATTTATCATATAGGTCTCTCGCAGACATGTCGATGAATGTTACAGGATGATGGAGGAGATGGTTCAAATGATGAGTATGAGCCCAATAGTAGCAGTGACGATGATGATGGTGATGGCTAGTTTTTGAGGATTTTGATGAATAGATTTCTATAATCTTTGAATAGTTTTGGATTTTGTTTACAAACTTATATATGATACAGTTTTGGATGGTTTATAACTTTTTGAATAATTAAGAACTTAAGGATAGTCTTTTTGGATGATTTTGAACTTGAGCTTAGTTTTTGGATGTTGGGAATGTATTAATTAACAACTTTTGAATATTCATAATTTATGGATATAGTTTATTTTTTTTGCTTGAAACAATATTTTGGTTGTTGATTGATATTTTGTGAAGCTTGTTTGTAATGTTTGTTAGATTGTACAAAACAAGTCAAAATAGAATCTGTTGAATTAAAAAAAATAATAATGCACATTCTACGGCATGCTGAGCAAGTCGTATTACATATTCTACGGCACTCAATCAGTGTCATTATTTGTCTCACCAATTAACGGCGTGCAAAAGTAGTCGTGGAAAAAGTAACGACGACGCACAAAATCTACCGTTAAATAGTTTTTAATGGCGTATTATAGCATGTCGTTGATAATGTAATAACAACGCACAAAATTTGCCGTTAAATAGTTTTTAATGGCGTATTATAGCATGTCGCAGATAATGTAATAACGACGCACAAAATCTGTCGTTAAATAGTTTTTAACAGCGTACGAAGCATGTTGTTGAAAGTGAAAGACTTTCCATGACTGGTCATAATATGACGCGCGCTACACGTCGTAGAAGGGTTTTACGGCGTGCATTGCGCGTCGTAAAAATCCTTTTTGGTTGGGAGAAGAAGTGTGATTGCTCTTGGAACTGATCAGCCAGCCGCTAATCGTAGAGTTTCCCCTGCTCCTATTCCTCCTTCAGTAGCGCCTACTACTGCACCATCTGTTGCTCTAGTGGTCCCTAAAGCGCCATGAGTTGTTCTTGCTACACCACCCGCATAGGTTTTGCAGTCATTATTGGGACTACTGAACAATCATGTAGCCCCGTAACCAGCAGTTCCACTAACTTTAAGTTTGGATAGAGGTTCTTTATTTAAGAGGTTTATGAAGGCAAAACCTCCTGAATTTCTTGGAATAGTGGACCCTACGGAGGCAGAGGCATGGGTACTAGAGATGGGGAAAATATTTGATGTTCTAGATATGAGCTTTCTGCGACTAGGTTTTTGGTCACTAAAAGTGTTATTTCTTGTAGTTATTTGAATTTGTAGTATTGTTGTTAATTAAAGTTGTCCAATAACAACACACATCAATAAAGGTAATACATGTTCTATAAAAAATTAAGTTATTCGAGCTTGATTCGTGTTTGGCTCATTAAAAGTTTATTTGCGATTTGTTCATTATGTAAATGAATCAAACTTAAACAAACTTTCAAACTTGATAGGTTTTCGAAGCAAACTTGAACATTGTATTACTCAGTTCGTTAACAGCCATACTTCTACTTTTTGCTAAACAAAAATGTTATGGACCATGAAAATGTATCCCAAATTTTATTTCGAAAATAAATATATATTAATTGACTTTTTAAAGTAATTTTATTACATTTTAGTAGCTAGTGATGTGCAAAATACTATCCTATCCATATTGATTTGCTTGTTAACCAGGATTGATTTAATTCGCAATTTGAAATTTATAATTCACTTGCAAAATCGTCTCACTCTGCACGCCCATTTATATATATATATATATATATACACTAGTGAAAAAGGCCCGTACAAGGCACAGGCTAGTATGACATTTGACTCCAATGTTTGATTGAGTTTACTAAATGAAATGGAATAATATGACATTTTTTTGAAAATATTTATTTTATATTTAATTCATTCAAAAAATAATAAAAAATGCATTGTAAAAGAAATAATAATTATTCCATAAGAAAATTTTAAAAATATTCATTTCATTCTATTGCACATCATTCCATTCTACTACCTGAACTTTTTCTCCAAAAGTAAGATTAGTTTCTTACAAAATTGAATAGAATGAATGATTAAATATATGATAGAAATTGTAATTTCTATTATAAAGTACAATTATGGAATAAATAGTTGAGATAAAATTTTAGTTCAAATGAGTGGATTTTTTTTATATTTTTTATTAGGATGGAATAATCGAATGATGGTATTATACACCAAGGATCATATAGTATTACTGTTAAACTTTGATTTGGTTTCATTTGTAAAAAAATATTTTTAGACCTATGCAAGGCATGGACTATTCTTTTGATAAATTTATATTTCCAAAATGCAAATCTTATAACAAATTAATTTGTCTGGTCTGATTTTTTAAAAATTATTTTTAGACGAATTCATTTGTTTTAATAAATTTTTTCATATTTTATTCAAAAAAAATTTAAATAATTTTTTTTTTTGTTAGTTCTAGTATATTAAAAATTCTAATAAGGAATAGTTGTGATTTTTAGTGTTGTACACAGGGGTGCTCGCTGATCGGTTTTTGACTGATTGGTTTGCGGTTTGGACTCAACCACATGTTTGTAGTTTAGGAAAAGTTGAACTCGCAACCGCGCGCAGTACGGATTGCGGTTTGTGTGGATAAAGTTCGCGAATGTGCGGGCGGTTTGCAGATTGGGCTTTTTGTTTAAAAAATTATTTTTGGGCTTGTTTTTCCCCATTTTTTAAATATTCTTTTTGGGCATTTCCCCCCATTTTAAAAATATTATTTAGAGTCATAAAATCACATATTTCTTATCATGAAATGATTATTTTTTAAATGATTTATCCCAAATAAATTACAACATATCTATCCAATTTACTTCAAGAAGGAAACAGACTATAAGCACATGCTATGATCAGTCAATTGATTCACATTCACTTTGCAGAAAATGTATAAACAAAACAAAACCCATAGTTGTTTTAATAAAAATGGAACAAATATCTTTTCTGAAAAATTAATTTTAGGGTTTGCTGAACTCACTTACTAGCGAAAAACAAGAAGCATAACCATAAATAAGCCCTTTTACTCATTTTATCACAAGGTATCAGTATTTGATGGGTTTCCGCACTTGCAAGGCAAAACAAGTTGCAAAACATTTGTTTACTTGCAAGTGAGGGAGAGAAAATAAGCTTAGGATTAACTTACGAGAAAATCTAATGGTCTAGATTTAAAATATATTTTTAAAAAATGATATACAGATGCGGGCGGATGAGTGTGGGTAACAATCGCAAACTGCCCACAACTCGCAAAACAAGAAAATATTAACCCTCATCCTATAGCGATCCCGGTTTTCCCTTTATTGTTTATTGTATTCCGGACTCGGTTCCGTGGATGATTGCGGTGGTCTATTTTGTTTTTCCGTCCTTTAATTCTTTGTATTTGAGTTTGGGATGTGTTGGGCAGGTTTGAAACAAGTTGGTTGTGTTTAAAAACCAAGAGTGGATGCCCAGATTTTGGCCTCTACGCTTGAGCCGGGCTTTTCACGCTCGAGCGGGCCCTTTTGTATTGCTCCTCCGCTCGAGCGGGAAGTTTGAAGCTCCAGCGTGATTATTCAACCCTCAGTACTTTTCCCTGCAAGTCATCGGGCGCTCGAGCATCCACTTTCATGCTCGAGCAGGGACCTTCGTCTGCAGAACTTCTGGTAGTGTGCAATCGACGCTCGAGCATCGCTTTACACGCTCGAGCAGGCCGTTCCACGCTCGAGCGGGCTGTGTAGTATATCAATCCATGGAAAGCCATTTTTAGTCACTTTTTCGACTCTCTCTCTCTCTCTCTGTAACTTTTCAAAACCCTATTTTGAGAGCTCCTCTTTGATCTTGATTTAGTGAGACCCAACCCTTGTGCCTTCATTAAAGTGTTGGAGCTTCTCAAGACCTGCATTTTGATCTGAATAGTTGTACTTTGGATCACTTTCGAGTTTCTTCATCTTCTCCTTTGGGATCTTAACTTCGAGGTAGGGATGATCTACTCATTCTTATGAGTTTTAACATAAATATTAGTCATTTAGTATAAATGTTTAAATTTGGTGATTTGGGAAGTTAGGGTTTGAGATTTGTGATATTTAAGAGAGGGTTTTTGTGTTTTTAAGCTCCATATGTATATGAGGTCTTGAAAATGAAGTTTTGTGGGTTTGATAGGTGAGGTTCGGTCTTAGGATCAATGTTTGAGAAAAGGGGGAAAATGCCCTGATTGAGTTTAAATAATTAATTTGTATAATTAATTTGGTAATTGTGAGGAATATGAAATTGATTTGAACATCATGAAACTGGATGGAATTGGGACTAGTTGGTGTAGTCGGTTTGATAAATCACTCACCTATGGAAAATGTGATAATTTATTTGTTTAGTAAATTCATTTATTTGTTTAGAAATAACTGCTTTGGGCTATCGGTGGAGGATAGTCTTGACTGTTGTAGAACTGCATGATGATTAATTAAATTGAAACTAATCAACTGAAATATGTCATTGAATATGATAGTGGGAAGAACACATTGAATATGTGCCTTAATTAATCATGGTATAAGATAAAGAGTTTAATACATTATATATGTATCTTGTTTGGGAGGAGATAGGGGATGTACTCCATATATGATTATGTGCTTTAATACATTGTACATGTGTATTGTTTGGGAGGAGATAGGAGATGTACTCCATGGTTTGAGAGGAGATAGGGGATGGACTAAATAACTGCTTTGGGCTATCGGTGGAGGATAGTCTTGACTGTTGTAGAACTGCATGATGATTAATTAAATTGAAACTAATCAACTGAAATATGTCATTGAATATGATAGTGGGAAGAATACATTGGATATGTGCCTTAATTGATCATGGTATAAGATAAAGAGTTTAATACATTGTATATGTATCTTGTTTGGAAGGAGATAGGGGATGTACTCCGTATATGATTATGTGCTTTAATACATTGTACATGTGTATTGTTTGGGAGGAGATAGGAGATGTACTCCGTATGTGCTTATTTGCTTTAATACATTGTATATGTACCTTTGTTTGGGAGGAGATAGGGGATGTATTCCATACGTGTGATTATATGCTTTAATACATTGTATATGTATCTTTGTTTGGGAGGGGATAGGGGATGTACTCTATTGTTTGGGAGAAGATAGGGGATGGACTCCATAAATAATTAAGTTGGCCAGAGTGTCCAGGGTGTAAGTCCCGAAACCTAATAAATTGAAGTGCATGAATGAAAGTTGATAATTGAAGTGTTAATTACATGAGTTGTAGTCTCATTTTGAA